AGCATATTGCCTATTTCTCGGTTGATTTATTCCATTCATATCATACGAATATCTTCTTGGGAAGTTCAGTGCGCATGAAAATTGAATGAGGATTTATTCTGTTGTCATGTATTCTGTTGCTGAGCGCATATATTCCAAATTTATTGTTTTTTGTTTGCACGATATCCTAATAACATAGTAGTTCCTTGTGAATCGTGTTTGCTTAAGCATTATGACAATGGATAATTCTGAGATTGTGATTAATAACAGTGGGAGCGATAAAATTTCTGGATTTATGATGTGTTATCGAAGAGATGAGATTCTGAATGAAATACCGTGAAAATTTGAGGAATTGTTTCGTGTTGAGCACCGTAAACTGACTGTTTGAGAAACAAATGGTGAGGAGATGAAGCAGAAAGAAGGAGAAGGTAATATATGACCTGGGATGAGTGCGATATGAGAATTTTGATCGTTACGAAGGGACATCAGCTTTAATGTAACACACAAAATTGCTTTCCCAATCACTTTTAAGAACACAGTTTTCGGTGATAATATCCTAAAATCTCATTCAACTATTTCATGTGCTCAACATCTTCAATCCATTATTGTTTTGTTTTGCTTTCAAAACAAACAAGTGTTTTCAATTTAAATGCAAACTGACACATCCTTCTACAGCCATAAAGAAAGTACTTGTGGAATGCAAGGAAAATCAAGAATTGATGTTGTGTTGTTACGACAGTTATGCTTGATTCACTGACAAAACTTCAAAAATTTGTATTTCAAGATCGAAATGAAAAGGAATTCCGAAGAATTCATTGATCCACCTTAGAATATCGAAAACTTTTATGCTATATGATTGTGTAAATAACACTAAATGGTAGAATAAAGTGTTTACAAACAATGCGAAATGACTGCAAGAATGGCAATCTCAAATAACTTATAATAATCTTATAAAGATAATCAAAGATGAGATGATTACAAAGTAAACAATAATCAATTGTAAGTGTTTCATTTAGTAATCGAATCAGATCGCTACGTTATTTACAGAGCCAATTTTGGAGAGGAGTTCAGTGATTGAGGGTGATGTATTACTGTATAAACAACGCAAGCATCGTAATCGTGCTATACCTCTGATGAGTGGACCAACTCGAGTCGCTGATCGTATTACCTTCAAAGAATGGCTCCGAGAGGTCAGCAAACTTAGACGAGGTATATTCTGCGTTTTCATTTGCATTGATATGTTTGTGTATATTGATGATGTGTTGCATTGCAATCAGCTAATACAAGTATACACTTGAAAATGCGCATTCAAAAGGACAACCGAATATTTTTGCATAAGAAACTTATGAATTATCATTATTGAAGTCATCCTAGAACAATTATTTATTTTATTCGATTCACTCAGCATTCAGAGATCACTACGCGTTATACATTTGTGAATTATTAGGAAATTTAAGAAAATAAATTCTGAAAACAACTTCTAATTTCGCTCTGTGTTTGAAACGTGTTTGAATGACGAATGAACGTTTGACATCGCACACGACACATAAATCAAATTCATCACTCATCAAGAAGTGCATCATGAAATTTTCATGTTGTTTACGTCAAAGTTTCTCGAGTGAAATCCTCAGCAATCCAAAATGAATTCTAAGAGGACTATCGATACATTAATATATTTTCTGTTAGGAGTATGTTAGAATAGATTATTTCGAATATGTCGAAGAATTTTGGATGAGAAAATTGTTCATCAATGAATATTGCATGAACAAATTTCTTCACTTTTCACTTTTTCTAATGATGAGCGATTGTAGATCTTTACGAAAATTGATCTATTTCAACGAAATACACACTTTTGTTCCTGAATTCATTAATAACAGAACAGATTTCTGGTTATGTTCCTTCCGGAATCGTAAATTTTTGCTGTAAAAAAGTTGCAAAACGCAACGCAGTGTCCTTGTTTTGTGAAGCTTGAATGATTAAGAAAATTAGGATAGTGTTTTAACGTGTTAGATTTATGCAAATGTTCACTGTGAACTTCCTCTCACTGAAGTAAAACACACAAATCTATCGGAAATGATGCATCGCTTACGTTCGCTTCATTACACCATTCAGAACAAATCCTCGTCGCAATTATTCACTCACATCTTTTCACCAAATTCTCCTCAAATGTTGTGAACACAAGTGAATACACAGAGGAACATCGAGTCAACATCCTCCTTCATGAATTCTAGATGTTCTTGGGAAATCACCTCAGATAAACGCTTTGATTTGGTCGATTTGGCGTTCTTCATTATAAGAATTGTCCACACACATCAAATGATAAATTGTGAAGATTGCAAATGATAAATTGAACAATTCAAATTTGATCAAGTAAAAAATCCTCAAGCAAAGCGGATTTCAGTGATAAAAATCAACGTGCGCACAACGGAAGCCGTTCGTCCCGTGCTGCAGTATTTGTTTGC